AAATTGAACTAGCAATTTCAACTTATTTTGAATCCCAGAAATTCAGTCTATAATAGAGATTTATGTCTTTGGTCTTGCCTTTGGTTGAATAGTAATTTTTTTAAAAACGTTTGTCCATTCTGCATTGGTCCAACGTGTGTATTTGGCAAACCTTTAGTTTCATTCCATCTTCCATTCATATCTTCTCCTCTCACAATCCTAACCCTTTCATCCAGGACTCCAAATTCTAAGGTTCCAAATCTGTAAATCAGGTCCCCATTGCATGGCTCCAAATTAAAACAGACAGATAAACTGGAGAAAATTTTTCCATAAGAGGTAACAGTAGTGCTATTGTATTACATTATGGCTTTCCCAGGACTTCCATAAACAGTTTCTCCAACTCCCTCTTCCCAGCCCTCTAAACCTATAATTAACTGTAAAAAAAGAAAATTAATTCACTTTAGCTGAACTACTTAAAATATATTTAAATAAGGATTTTTTTAAGTCACTCTCAGAACTTTTTCTTCTATATTTTTTCATGTCTTTCTCTTTCTTTGGTTTCTTTCAGTTAAGAATTACCTTTCTTTTGAGATAGGTTCATTTGTAAAAGTAATAAACTTATTATCTTACCTTCATGTTTGGGAAAACTTTTAAGGCAGAAGAGAGGGAAAAGTTTTCCTCTCTGAGGGTACTTTTCAACGGCAGGAAGAGTCCAGCAGGCTGTCCTCGCTCTGCTTCTCCCTGTTCTGGATTATCTTGGCACTTATTTATAAACCAAGTGGTTCTCAGACATAGCTCATACTCCAGCTAGATTCTTCAGAGACATGAAGAGCCTCCTTCTGAACTTAATCTATGACTTGAAGCCAAATGTATTTTATCAGTTTCACAGACCTGAACTACAGCCAGCTGGGACTGTTTGGAAGTTAGAGATAAGTTTCAGAAAAACATATCTGTAAATCAGGAAAGACAGCAAATGTTCTCAGTTCAATATTTAAATGACTTTCAATCCAAGGAGATTCTATGTAAGGCAAGGGATAAGCCTCCTTCCTGTTTCAATGTACTGAACTGAGCAGATGTTTTCATGATTCTCTCAAAGGTATTATAAACTAAACTTTGAGATTAAACACTTTGTAATAGAAATGATCTTGTCTCCCTCCATTTTCTGTTGCTATAACACAACACCTGAGACTGGGTCATTTATTTAAAAAAAAAAATAGAAGTTTATGGCTTACAGTCCTGAAGCCTGAAAAGATCAAAAGTATGGCCCCAGTATCTGGTGAGGGCCTTCTTGCAGCATCATAACTTGACACAGTAAAACAAAACAATCCTGCTAGCCAGAGTCTCTCTTTCTCACCCTCAAGACCCCCATCTAATCCTAATTACCTTCCCAATGTCCAAATATCATTGACATATGCCTGTGGAAATTAATCATCCAACATATGAACTTCTGGGAACACA